ATAGTATAATAATCATATTTATATTTTTTTAATAATGGTAAAGATTAATTTTTTTTTCTTTTTTTTTTTTTTTTTTCTTTTTTTTTTTTTTTTTTTTTTTTTGACATTCATAACCATATCTTACACCCCCATTAATCAAACTATAAAATATTTATAAAAGACACTATATTTATAAACTAGTTAATATACAAATGGGCTTTTATTACTTATTATTCTCCAAATCACAAACTACCCCACTCTTTTATTTTTAAATCCTTTTAATAAAAAAAAAAAAAACAATCAAAAATAGAATCATAACAATTAAACCCCCCAAAATAGAATCATCAAAATTTTTATAAAATTATTTTTTCAAATTAATTTCTTAATGCCAATTATGGGGGGTTCTATTTTTAAAAAAATATTATTATTTTAAAATAATAATACATAAATATAATAATTTTTTTTTTTTCTAAATTTTTTTTAACGCTTTTAAATATAAAACAATAATTATATATGGTTTTAAAAGAGTTTAATTTAAACATCTAGGTAATAAATTAAACCTTCAACCTTTTTTAAAAAAAGTACAAATAATTTTTTTATTTTTTTTCAGTTTTATTTTTTTATTTTTTTTTGATCAACCATTACATTTGGTGTTTTTCCTTTTCAATGGTATTATAATTTAATGCAGTAAATGCACACAAACAAACAAAGAAAGAAATTAAATTTTCAGTTTATCGCGAAAAAACACACAATCCTTTTTTTTTCTAAAAAATTTAATTAATTTTTTATTTTTTAAATTTTCAAAATAAACAAAAAAAAAAACACACACAAAAGCACACATTTAAAATTAATTTTTTTATTTATTTTTTTCTTTTTTTTTATTTGTGTTTTTTTGTAGATTAACAATAATAATAAAAAAAATAAAAAGTAATATACATAGTTACAAATATATATACACAGAGAACCACAACAAATACATATATACAGATACAAAAAAAAAAAACATAAAATATTATAATAAATATTATATTCCATATTCATATACTTCTCTAATAATATATACCCACACACTTTCACCCAAAGAAAATACACATTAATACAATAGACATAGATTATTGTTGTTGCTACTATATCTATTTTTTTTTAATTTATAATAATATTTAAATAATTATAACATTAAATTTTATATTAAATTTAAGTTTATAATTATTTTATTTTTTTTTTTTAAATAATTAATTTTATTTTAATTTTTTTTATTTTTTAATTTTTTAATTTTTTTTTTTTAAAATTTTTTTTCTTTCTCCATTGAATAATAAACTTCTTAAAATAAATAGTAAATATTATAATAATAATATAATAGTTAGATAGAATCAGGGAGAAAGAACTAAATACAATAAAATAACAATTATATACAATAAACCAATTATTATACAGAAATTTTATTTTTTTTTATTTTTTTTATAAATCCGATAAAAAAAACACAGTTTATAAAATTTTAAATATTAATTATAATTATTGTAGTTATTTTTTTTAGTAGTTAAAATACAATAGTGTGTATTTTAAAACAAACAGTAACAGAAAAAAAATGAACAGTCTTTTTTCATCGACATCAACACAGCCATCACAAACAACAACCACTACAACTACAACAACATCAAATAATAATTTATCATTTAAAAATTATAATTGTGATAGTGATAACAATAATATACATAATCATTCCCATAGTAACTATAGAGATTATAAATGTTGTAATAATATAAATAATAATAAAATTAATAATATAAATTTTGATAGTAATATAAATCTTCAATTACAATCAAGAGGAACTAAAATAGTTAATTTAACAGGTAATTATAATTTAATTTAATTTAATTAAATCAAACTAGTAAAAACTAATTATTAATTTTTAATATTTTATCAGTGGTTTCAGCAAGAGATTTAAAAATTAATTCAAATAAAATTGATCCATATGTCGAAGTTAGATATAAAGATAAAATATTTCAAACCAGAGCATTAAAAAACACAACCGATCCCTTATGGGAAGAGGTCTTTGAAATGTATATACATAAATAATTTACATAATTTTAAAAAAAATATCATACTAATAAAATATTTTTTTATTATTTAGTGAAATTAAAGAAGAAGATAGATTAAATATTCAAAATCCAATGATATCGTTTTATATTTGGGATAAAGAACTTTTTTTTAAAAACAATTATGTTGGGTCAGTTTCAATATCGTTAGACTGTATCGAAAGAGAACAAGTTTTTGAAAATTGGATTGATATTGTAAATAGTAACACAAACACAAAAGGTGTATCAGTTGTTGGTCAGTTGCACATTAGAGCTCAGTATTTTTCTATAGAAGACATCGAAGTTAATTTTGACGAATGGCTAGTTTTAAATAATAGTGGTGGTAGCATTGGCAAATTAACAAATAATAAAAATAACAACACAACAACCACAACCACAACAAGTTATAATTGTAGTTCAAAAACATCACCATCCTCTTCATATAAAGATGAACATTTTTCAATGTCACAAATCATTGATGATCAACGAAAGCTATTATTACAAAATCAAATGAATATGTTTAAAAATGGCAGTGACAACAGCGGGTCGTCATCTTCTGCTTCATCATTAAACGAAGCTCATATTTATCAACAAGAGTATTATTTAAACTTAATTCAACAACAACAACAAGATCAAGAAGAACTTGATCCAGAAATCTTAAAACTTATATTAAAACAAGAAGAAGAGGAACAATACGCCGCTAACCGTGATGAAGATATGTTATCACACTGTATATTATGTAAAAAATTTGAATCATCAGCCGACAATTTATATCTCATGGATGATTGCTTACACAATTTTTGTAAGAACTGTTTTAGAAAGGGCATTCAAGAACAATTAGAAAATAGTGAATGTAGTATTGATTCAGTTCAATGCTTATACGATGGTTGCTCAGAAAAAATTCAACATTTTATGATCAAATCAATTCTCGATAAAACAGAATATGAATCATTCCTAAATAAAACTTTAGAGAAGGTTTTGTATAACAACGACAACTATATTGAATGTCCATCATGTAATTTTGTGTTTGAAAAAATTGCACAACCACCATTATCACCACCAATAATTGGCAGTAATGGCCTTCCAATAATGAATAACAATAATATTAGTTTAAACAACTCCAATAATAATTTAAATAATAATAGTGCAAATACAACAGCAAATACCTCACCAATTCCATCATTATCAAACTCATTATCATCGTCATCATTTTCTTCGATTTCATCACTATTATCTGCTTCAAACTTGATATCCAATACTTTAATGTCAAATAATCAACCATCACCACCACCACAACAAACCACCAAAAAAAGATTAAAATTAAATTTATTAGCACCAGATGGTAAACTAATGTCAGAAGAATCAGCAAGACATAGAGAAGAATTTAGATTTAGATGTATAAAATGCTGCACCGAATTTTGTTCAGATTGCAAGACAACACCATATCACTATTCATATACTTGTGATAAATATACAGAATATTTAGTTTCAAAAAAATGTAGATTTTGCCAATCAAGCATTCCAAACGTTCCAGGTATTAAGGAAAGAGAAATTTGTTACTCTGAGGAATGTGAATTAAAATTAGGACTTTGCTGCGACAAAGTATTAAAATGTGGTCATCTTTGTATTGGTGTCAAGGGTGAGGAAAAATGTGGACCATGCTATGATGAAGAATGTGTTGGTAAAGATCGTTTCAACAATGATGAGTTTTGTAATATATGCTATATCGAATCACTTAAATCAGCACCATCAATAATGTTAGATTGTGGGCACATGTTCCATTACTCTTGTGTAGAAAAAAGATTAACCAATAAGAATGGTCCAAGAATAACTTTTCATCATTTAAATTGCAGTATTTGCAAAAAAGAAATGAAACATCCAGCTATTAAAAAAATATTAGATCCAATTCTCAAAGATAGAAAAATTATTCAATCAAAAGCTTTAGAGCGTTTATCATATGAAGGTTTGGCTAAATGTAAAGAGATTGAGGATAAGAAATCAAAATGGTACCAAGATCCAGATGGCTACTCAATGGACCGTTATGTTTACTACTCGTGCTTCAAATGTAAGAAATTTTATTTTGCAGGTCAAGCTCGTTGTGATGAAGGTGGCGAAGGTTATAATGAAGAGGACTTGATTTGTGGCTCGTGCCGTGGTAGTGACGGAAAAGAATGTAAGATCCATGGTTGGGACTATTTAATTTGGAAATGTCAATTTTGTTGCTCTCCATCTCAATGGTATTGTTGGTCCAAAACACATTTTTGTAATGAGTGTCATACCAAGCAGCAAAAAGGTGATTATCTCAATAAAAAACCCAAAACTGCTTTTCCAGTATGCGAAGGTCCTGAAAAATGTCCATTAAAAGTTGCTCATCCACACGTTGCTGAATTTATTTTAGGTTGTAGTTTATGTAATAATCTTTTAAACTTTTAATTAATCGATTGCAATCATTAATCAATAATCAAAAATAATAATAATATTTAATATTTTAATTTTTTTTTTTTACTTTATTTATATAAATTTAATTAATATATAATTAATAAAACTAAATTAAAGAAGAAAAAAAAAACCATCGATTATGATTTTTTTTTTTTATTATATGTATTTTAAACAAAAATATATCATGTATGTAATAGTTTGGAAATGTAATTTTAATTTGTAAATCCACAGAGAACACTTGTATTTTTTTAAAAAAAAAATTATAAACCTTATATTATTATTTATTTATTATAATTTAAAACCAGAATGAATTGCAACAACACCAAAAGTTAAATTTTTATAAGTAACTTGTTTAAAACCAGCATCGGTAATCATTTGGGCAAACTTATCTTGATTTGGGAATTGTCTAATTGATTCAACTAAATATTTATAACTAATAATAATTATAATGATAATAATAATTAATAAGTTGATTAATTATTTTAAAACCTAAAGAGAATATATATGTATATTTACCTATCGTGATCACCAGTAATTAATTGACCCATAACTGGAATAACATTGAATGAATAAGTGTCATATGCATATCTTAAAAGTGGGTTTGGAACTTGGGTAAATTCTAAACATAAAAATCTTCCACCTTTCTTAAGTACTCTATGGGCTTCTCTTAAAACTTGATCTATATTTGTACAATTTCTAATACCAAAAGAGACAGTGTAACAATTAAAGGTTTCATCTTTGAATGGTAAATTTTCACTATTACCTTGAACCCAATCAATTGATGGATCACTTAAATCTGTATAACCCATAGTTAAACCTCTCTTTTTACCTTCATTTAACATTGATTGATTAATATCATATACAGTTGCTGATGATGGTAATGATGAAGATTTTAATGTTGATGATGATGCAATATTTGGGAAATAATTTGGTGAATTTTTAATTCTATCTAAAAATCTAAATGATACATCACCTAAAAATTATAAATATAAAGATATTTTATTATTATTATATTGTTTATTACAATGATTACAATTATTATTATAATGACTGTTTTATTATTATTATTATTGTTTTAAATTTATTATTTACCTGTACCACCAGCAACATCTAAAAGATGTGAACCTGGTGTTGGATTTAATGTATTCATTAATTCATCTTTCCATAATCTGTGAATACCCATTGACATAACATCATTCATTAAATCATATTTTGATGAAACACTATCGAAAACTTCTTTAACCATATCCTCTTTATCTTCTTTATTTACAGTTTTAAAACCAAAATGTGTTTTTTCTTGTGGTTGTTGTGATGAGGATGAGGATGAGGATGATGGAGTTGGATTATTAGTACTTGTATAAAATCTAGAAAATGATAAACCCATTCTTCTAACTGATCTATTTAATGTTTGGAGCATTGTTTAATATGGAGATTTGATTTTTATTTGATTTTCTGATCTTTATTTAAAATTTATTCATATATAACGAAAAAAATAAAATAAAAATAAATAATAAATAAAATTTTAAAAAATGAAAAAAAATTAATTTTTTTTTTTATTTTTTTTTATTTTTTTTTTTAAAAATTTTTAAATTTTTTTTTTTTAAAGTTTGTTCATCATCATCATTTAATCACATTTTTTATTTTTTTATATAATATTTTACATATTAAAATATTGGATAGAAAAAAAAAAAAGAAATGGTTAAATTTAATAAATTTATAATATTAGTATTATTGGTATTAATATGTAGTTTTGTTTCAAAATCTTTTTCACAAGAAAATGTAAAAATTAAAAATAAAATAATAAAAATAATAATAAAAATAAAAATAAACTAACATATAATTTTAAATACTCTAATTTATAAATAATAAAACTTATAAACCATTTTAATACAGGATTCAGAAGAATTCGAACAAAATGAAATAAATATCGATGGTGGAAGTGAAGCACCACAAGATACCTCGATGGAAACAGAACAAGTTAAGGTTATTAGAAAACCAAATAATTATTTACTCGAAATTGTTTTCATTTCAATTATTATTGCATACGCAGTAAACTATTTCGTTGGTCAAAACACAAATCGTGAATTAATCAAGTTATGGGGTAAAAAATTACAACCAGTATTTGACAGTAATTTCGCTAAAACAGGTAACAAAGGAACATTCACAATTCTCAAAGTTAACGCATCTACCTATTCTTTCCTTTGCACCGGTCGTATCAACTGTTTTGGTCTTCAAGCAACTTTAGATCTTAAAAAGAGACACGATTTATTCTCTGTAATTATGGATTTAGTTGGTTATGGTAATCCAGATCGTATGACCATTGAAATTGCAATTAATAAAGAAAATATGGATCCTTTAGTTTTTGCTTTAGTTAAATCAAAAGCAATCAAGAAATTCAAATCTGATAACAATGATGTTGTAAGTAAAAATAATATTCATTTAACAGCATTAATAAATCATTATTAATCATTTTATTTTACATTAAAGGATTTATTCTGTTCAAAATATACAGGTTCAGGTATTAGCGGATTAGCCTCAAGCTTTGGTGTATTATGCGATACTGAAGTTCTTCCATCATTATTATTAAAGAGTGAAGCACTTCAAGTTATTAATCAAAATGAAAATCTTGTTGAATGTATGCATTTCTCTGATCACAGTTTAATAAATCCAAAATATCCAAAAGCTTTAAGATTTGTTTTCAAATTCCCAAAACAATCAGAAATGGATAAATTGGCTCTCTTAACTAAAATGGCTATTCACTATATCGATGTTGTTGCAAATCTCGAATTACCAAAAAATGTAAAAAAAAAATTAATAATTTTTATTATTATTACTATTATTTCATATTAATATGTTTTATTATTTTTAGTATAAAGCAAAAGCAGATAAATTAAGAGATAAAGCCAAAGAAGAAATCGAAAAACAAGCCAAATTAGAAAGACAAGAAGAATTACAAAAAAAGAAATATGAAAAGAAATTAAAAGAAAAGGAAGCAATCTCAAAATTAACTCCAGAACAACAAAGAAAGAGAGATGAAAAAGAATATAAACAACAATTAAAGAAGAGAACTGGTGCTGGTGGTAAAACCAAAATTGTTTTAGGTTAATCTATAATATAATATATAATTGTTTTTTTTTTTTATGATAATAAAATAATAAAATTTAGGTAACAATAACAACATCAATAATACAATATCAATAGTAATGGAAATTATTAAAAATATATCAATAATTATTAATAAAATTTAAAAGCAATAAAAAAAAATATAAACATATTTAATATCTTTTTTTTAAAAAAAAAAAAAAACTCTTTGGTGTAAAATTTTTATTTGTTAACTTTTTGTTTTTTTCTTTCTATCTATCTGTTCGTTTATTATTTATAAATATATTCTATATATAACTCTAATTAAAACTTTTGACATCAAAACTTCAAGTTCAATACATCCGATAAAATATTCTAAATCGGCACTTATTTTCTATCAATCAAATTTTAGCACTTAGTTTTAACAAAGTAAAATTTTTTTTTTTAAAAAATATCCAGATATTAATTAATTTTTTTATAATAATTGTTGTGGAGCAAATTTTTTTTGGCAATTTGAATATTTTTTAACATTTATTTTTCTTTTTAACTATTTTTTTTTTTAAAATTTATTTTTATAAAACTTTTTATAAAAAAATAAATAAATAACAATGAAAATTATTTTTATTTCTATAATAATTTTGATATTAGGAATAAAAAATGTGAGAGCATGTTTCAGTTTGGGCAATTGTCCTAAATTAGGTGAAAGTTGCGAAGGTTCATGTGCTCCAGGTTTAGATTGTTTTAATGGCAAATGCCAATCAATGACTCTCTGTGATCCCAATTTACCAATTACTCAAGATACCTGTACAGGTTCCTTTTTATGCACAAAGATAAATGACACTATTGGTGTTTGTTTACAATATGTATCACAAAAATTAGATGGAACTGTCCCATGCAGTAGACCAGCCAACTGTGCTTCAAACCGATGTGAAAATTCAAAATGCATGCCACCTCCATCAAATACGTGCAGAAATGGTAAGTATTTTTCATAAAATAAAATTGAAAAAAAAATTAATAATTATTTTTTCTTTATAATTTTAAATAGAGGATAGCTGTGATTCAGATTCCATTTGTACATCAATCTATAACGGGGGGACCGTGACTACTACTTGTATAAAAAGAAGTGATTTGGGACCTTGTGCATTCCCAAATGAATGTTCTAGTGGAGTTTATGTTAATGGTAATTGTGCCCCAATTTACTCTGGAAAAGAAAATGATACTTGTTCTTTTACAACCCAATTATTTCCATTAACTAATCCGTGCAATGTTGGTTTAACAGTAAGTAGACTCATTAACTATATAGAGATAATAAAAAAATATAAAATTTTAAGATTTAATTTCTATTTAGTGTATGGATGGTAAATGTGTTAAATATGAAGAAAAAGCATGTATCAATATATTTGCAACAATATAGAACCCAAATAGTTTTGGATAAAAGAATACTCAAGCTTTCATTAAAACAAACTTGAAAAACAACAGATTTCTTTACACTTTTCAAAAATATATATTAAATATGACCATAAGAAATTAAAATCTGATAGAAATTCTAGAATCTATAATTAAGTCGTTTCAATGGTCAAATTCATTAACTACAATCTTCAATACTTAACCCACAATTAATAAATTAAAGCACATCAAACAGCAACAATCAAATCTATAATAATAATCAAATTTTATTCAAATAATAAAAATAATTAACAATAAACAATCAGACAAAAAAAAATAAAAAATTAATATATATTTCAATTAAATTATTATCGATTAAGAGTTTATTTTTTTATTTCAAAAAAGCTATGATGTAATATAATGTAATTCTCTATCTATAGTAATCAATTTATATATAAGGAATAAAGAAAAAACCAATATACAATTGGTGTAGCATTCTTTATTTTTATTTATAAAGTTATTATACATTAATATTTATTATTTTTAATAAAACCTTTGGATATTTTGCAAAAATACAATTAAAATGATGTGTAATGTTATATTTTATTTTAATTTTGTAAATAATTATGGATGTCTAAAATCTTTAAAATGTTGTGGGTTGTTTCTATAACAGGTATCCCAGTATTTACAAGCAGGTTTATCTTGACTTCTAGATTTAACAAATGGTTTGAGACCTACAAATTCGCTGTCGTCGTCCGAACCAGATGGAATATAATCATCACCAGAATCATCCTCTTCTTCAAAATCAATAAAGTCATCTTTTTTTTTGGGTTTTGATTTTGGTTTTGGTTTACTTTCTGTTGCTACTTTTTTGGTTGACGATGTTGATTTGGTATTATGTTGGGGTTCCTCTTCAAAATCATCATACTTTCTTTTTGTGACTTGTTTCGATGGTGTTTGTTTAGTTGGTGTTTGTTTAGTTGGTGCTTGTTTAGTTGGTGTTTGTTTTTTTGGGGTTGATGAGGGTTTTATTAATTGTACAGTGAATGGATATTTTTGTGAACATAATAAAAATTGTTGACCATCATTTAAATAAATTGGTGTATCAATGGCCAATGGTTCTAAAGATCCATTTTTATCAATATGAATTGGATTTTGACCTTTTGGAGTTAGCTCTACACAATATGTATCGCTAAATGATTTTACAAATTTTATAACTGCTTGGTTCCTACTAACCAACTTATCTTTAATTTCTAAAATATTTCTACCTAAAGTGAAGGGTTCATCAAGCTTTAATTGAATTTTATCTCCATTCTCTTGAATTAAATTACAAATTGGTTTTGACTCTGGTTTAATATCCTCTGCAGTGTCTGATAAAAAGTCATTGGATGGTTGAGAGCTTGATTTCGATTTCGATTTAATTGGCTTCTCCTCCATATCAATATCTTTTGGACCCTCTTCAAAATCATCTTGATCAAAAATATTTGATTTCTTATTTCCAATTTTTTTTTCTGGAATCATACCTTTCTCTTCTTGTTGCTCCTCTTCGTGTTGTTCTTCGTGTTGTTCTTCTTGTTGCTCTTCTTGTTCTTCCTCTTCCTCATCATCTTCTTTTGGTTTCCACCAATCAATTGGTTTCGAGCCATGGGTTTCTAAATAGCTATTGATCTTTTTAAAATAATTTTCATTTAAAAATGTTTCTAAAAATGGACTAACTCCCTCTACATATTCTACCGGTACAGCACCCATAAATTCGGAATGAATTAATTCGATTTCATTTTTTAATTGTGATAATTGTTTGCCCAATAAAACTACAACAGTTGGAGATGGGTTTTCTTCTTCCAATTTATTATTGAAAATAGCTCTAATAATTTCGTTTACAACTGGTTTCCAATAGTTTTCAACTTTAACTGGTACTTTATCTTCGTCCTCTACACTTGTTAATGATGAATTTAACCAAAGCACACCCTGCTTAGCGGTAGATTTAAACCAATCTCTTGGATTATCTGAAGGTAAGTCCACTTCTTTTAATGCCTCTTGAATCGAATCCAATGTATCATCCTTAGTAATAAAACCACGATCGATTAATGCTGCCCTTATCAAATTCTTTGTTGATGCTTTAATATTATATAATTTCCATTTATCGGCAGATGCATCACAAAATGAAAAACCACATGATGTTTCTTTTTTATTATTTGGTGAAAGACCAAAGAAAACAACTTTACAATCCTTTGGTGACCCTACAAAATTTAAACTTGAAAATATTTGACTTGAAATAGGTAAATAACTACTGTTTCTTTTTTCTCCAACAATTTCTTCAAACAATGGTTTCTGTAAAAAAAAAAAAAAATATTAATATCAATTTTGCATTGTGTTGGTTTTGATTTTTTGGTCATTGAATATAAACTATACTTTACATTTTGTGTCAACACTGTATCTAAACTATCAAACCATTTCTTTGATAAAACTGATGATAATAAAAATGGTTTCTTATTTGATTTGGATGTTGAAGCTGAAGTTTTTGTTGATTGGACAGTACTTGTTAAACTTTTTGATGCATCAACATCATCAAAAATATCGTCATCATCCTGTTCATTTGGTTCAAATGCTGCTTGTTTCTTACTGTGGTTGTGTTTACTGGTCGATTTATTTTTATGGCTATCCTCATCATCACTATTTGCAATATTACCACTATCATCAACAAACCACGATGATGCTGCTGATTTTGTTGGTTTTGATTCTTTTGCTTTGGGTTTAGACTTGGATTTTGATTTTGGTTTACTTAATATTGAATCTCTGTGGTCATTTATCAGTTCCTCAATTAATTTTTGATCACTCTTTTTAATATCATCGAAACCTTCTAAATCATCAATTTCATCTACTTTTTTGGTTGTTTTTCTTGCATTTTTTTGTTTCTAAAATTAATTTTAAAATATTTGTTAGTATAGTTTATTTAATTTTTTTTTAAAAAAAAAACCTATACAAACTTCAAAGAAACAATTAGGATGGAACCAATCTATAGCTTGACCATCTGTTTCGAATCTATCCGATGGATATAATTTACCAATTCTTAATGATGTTTTTTCTATTTGTTTTTTGCATTTTGAATGCTTACAACTCGATCTTCCCGACCCTGCATATTCGACCCTGTACGTATTATTTGACATGGTTCAATTTAAATGCTAAAGTAAATTAATATTAATAATAATTAATAAATATATAATGAAAAAAAAATTAAAAAAAAATAATTTGAAAAATTACCTTAAAAAAAAAAATTGAAAAAAAAATAAAAAATAAAAAAAAATTTTGGCAATTTAGATTTTTATAAGAAATTTTGTATTTATATAAAAAATATTTAACATTGATTTACAAATCAAATGTAACAAAAACTATTCTTTATATTTCTTTTATTTCCTATCCCGGAATATAAAAAAATATAAAAAAAACATTATAAATAAAAATATTATATATTAATACAAGTGAATAAATCTATTTATATATATTAGATTATAATTATTATTAGTTTTATTTATTTATTTTTTTTATTCATTTACTTTTTTATTTATCTACATATTTATTTATTTATATTTATTTATGTACTTTCAAAAAAATATTTCCCCCTCTTTTTTTTTTTTTTTTTTTAAAAAAAAATTTTTTATTTTAAATTTCAAATTTTTATTTTTTTTTTTTTTTATTTTTTTATAATTTTTTTTTTAAAATTAATATATATAAAACTTTATTAAAATGGCAACTGCAGCAATCGATCCATTATTACCATGGGTAGAGAAATATAGACCAATTGAGATTAAAGATATTGTCGGTAATGAAGAAACTGTTAGCAGATTAGAAAGTATTTCAAAAGATGGTAATTTACCAAATATTATTATTAGTGGACCACCAGGAACTGGTAAAACAACATCAATTTTATGTTTAGCGAGAGCATTATTGGGACCAAACTATAAAGAAGCAGTATATGAATTAAATGCATCAGACGATAGAACTTTAGATGTAGTCAGAGATAAAATCAAATCATTTGCACAAAAGAAGGTTACATTACCACCAGGTAGACATAAGATTATTATTCTTGATGAAGTCGATAGTATGACATCTGGTGCACAACAAGCCCTTAGACGTATTATGGAATTATACAGTTCAACAACACGTTTTGCATTCGCATGTAATCAATCAACCAAAATTATTGAACCAATTCAATCAAGATGTGCAGTATTACGTTTCACCAAATTAAACAATCTTCAAATTGCTGCACGTTTAAAAGAAGTTATGACTATTGAAAAAGTACCATTCACCGACGATGGTTTAGAAGCCTTAATATTCACCTCTGAGGGTGATATGCGTCAAGCTTTAAATAATCTCCAAGCCACTTTCTCTGGTTTAGGTTTAGTCAATGCTGAAAATGTAAATAGAGTATGTGATCAGCCACATCCAAAAATTATTAGAGCCATCATCGAACAATGTTCAAAATCAAATGTTAATGTAGCCTACAAACACTTAAAAACACTTTGGGACGAAGGTTTCTCCTCTATCGATATCATCTCTGCCTTATTTAGTTTAACAAAAGCCTCCACAATTTTACCCGAATATCAAAAATTAGAATTCTTAAAAGAAATTGGTTTTTGTAATCTTAGAGCTTCAACTGGTGTCAATACTTTAGTACAACTAACTGGTTTAATCTCAAAACTCTGTATAGTTTCAAAAAAAATGGAAAAATAAATAAATAAAAAACCTAATAAAATTTATTTTTAAATGATTAATATAATAATTAATCATTAAATTTTATATAAAAATTTTGATCATTAATTATATTAAATTATTTCTTAAAAAAATCGATTATCTAAAAATTAAAATTAAAAAAAATAAAAAAAAAATAAAAAAAAAAAAAACCGAATTGCTATGAGAATCAAAATCGTGAATATATATCTAAAGAAAAACTATTTTTATTATAATTATTTATTTATAATTAAAGATATTGTTATATTTTTATTTATTTAACAAATATGTTAATTTTCATTTTCCTTATTCAATAAATTAAGAAATAAACTTTGCCCCCTTTATAATTTTTTTGTTTAAAAAATTTTAAATTTTTTAAATTAATAGTTAAAATTTTAAAAAAAAATTAAATTTGTATATATTTTTTTTATAAATTTTTGTATAATAGCTAACCATTAATAATTTTCTGTTGTGCTTTATATTTATATAATCAAATTTTAATAGTTAAAAAATAAAATAAAAAAAATTAAATTTTTTAAAAAAAAAAAAAAAAAAAAATTTCGAAAAAAACGTTAGGCGAAAAAAAAAAAATTTTATACCTCAAAAAAAAAAAAACAAATTGTGCGCAGCCCAAGGTCTATATCAAAAAAATTTTTATTATAGTCATTTGTCAGGACACAGAAGGTATGAGACATCCACACACATAAATATAATGATGGATAATTGCATATATTTTAGGATTAATACTGGATTAATATTATTGGATTAAAAGATTAATGTTGGATTAACATTAGATTAACATTGGATTGATTAATCAGTATATTTGAGATAGATACTATATATCCATTATCAATTATCCGTCATATCTATATCTATCAATTTTCAAATATTAATCTTATTTATTATTTAGTAATTTAGAATGCCAATCCACAACAAAGTCTTATCTAACGACCACTTCAGAAAAGTATTATCAAATTTAATTATACAACCGAAATCGTATATAATGTAATAAAATATTAATAATAATTTATTTTTTAATAGCACTGGGACATGAGAGTCCGTACCTGGTTCAACCAACCAGCTCGTAAGATCAGAAGAAGAAATAACAGAATCGAAAAAGCTGCTAAAGTCTTCCCAAGACCAATTTCAACCTTAAAACCAGTTGTTCGTGGTTCATCCATCAGATACAACATGAAAGTTAGAGCTGGTCGTGGTTTCACCTTAGAAGAATTAAAGGTAATTAATCAATTTTAGATGTAGCATGATTTTAGGTTTTTAGGGTATTGGATAATCAATAATAATAGAGAGAAAAAAAAAAGAAATGCTACAGTTTCAAACAATAGGTTATGAATTAAAACTAATTGTTTTATTTATATTATATTTATAGGCTGCTGGTTTAACTGCTCAATATGCCAAAACTATTGGTATTGCCGTTGATTTCCGTCGTGTCAACAAATCACAACAATCATTAACCTTAAACGCCCAACGTCTCAAGAATTACCAATCTAAACTCGTTCTCTTCCCAAAGAAAGTTTCAGCTCCAAAGAAAGGTGAAGCTACCAAAGAAGAAGTTGCCAAAGCTGTCCAAACCCTCAATGTTTCCCCAGTCAAAGCTGGTATCAAAGTTTCATCAGAAGCCCCACGTAAAGTTACTGAGGAAGAAAAGAAATTCAACGCTTACGCTTCACTCAAATTCGCTGACGCCAAAGTCAAGAACTCAGGTATCAGAAGAAAGGCCGCTGAAAAGAAAGCTCAAGCTGCCTCTGAAAAATAAACTACCCCATCAAATTAAGTGGATTATTAAATATAAATTACCAAACAATTGTACACACAAACCTATTTGGGTTTACTTTTATTTTTGTTATATTTTATTTTGTTATGTTTTTGTGTTTAATTTTATTTCATCGTTTTTTTTTTTTTATTTTATTTCTTGTAGATACTATTTTTATATTTTTTTAAAATTTTTTTTTTTTTTCAAACAAACTAATTTTATTTCATCATTTTAAAATTAAAGAAATAATAGAATAATATTTAATAAATAGTTTTTTTTTAAAAAAAAAAAAAAAAGAATTTTATACAAAATCTATTATTGTAAATTTTTTATAATAATAATTAATTTTGCAAAAGGGGGTTTAAACAATGGTATAAAAATTTTATTTAAATAATTTAAGGATTAATAAAAACATTGTAATAATTATTACTTTATAATAGATATTTATGTTTATTTTATTTATTTTTCTATTTTATAAATTTATTTTTATTATAATCTTGTTAAATGAATTGGTTTTTTTTTATTTTATTATTTATTATTTTATTTTTTATTAAATATTATTCTATTTTTTGTTTATTAAATAATTAATATATTTTACTTTATGTAAATTTTCGGATGTATTTTAAAAGTATTATAATTACAATTTTAATATTATATATTAAAATTGGTATTTCTTCAATTATAGATAGAGATGGTGACAGTTTATTAGGGTATTTCGCGGATCTTGTTTATGATAAAAGAAACTATACAGGACTGTTCCAATTCGTTTCGATAGATAATGAGTGCATGGAGTGGAGGGTCTTAGTGGACACAAACAGGATGATGGTTTTTGAATCTAAATTAAGTAATAATTTGGTGATTTCTTTTAAAGGAACACAATCAATTTCTGATATAATTTCGGATTTAAACTTTATTCCAATTAAATGTAGAATTACTTTGGATTGCGGGAAAGTACACTTGGGTTTTTTGAAAGAGTATAATGACATATCTGACCATTTACATAGAGTAATGACTTCGCTAGACCAACCTTATAACATTTATTTTACTGGACATTCATTGGTAAGTGTGGTATTTTTAAAATAAAATAAAAAATAAAAAGTGTGCTAAAAATAAATAATCAATCAATTTTTAAAAAAAAAGGGCGGGGTGTTATCAGTACTTGCAACAATGGAATATACAACAAGGCCTAAATTAGATAACATTAAAAGTATACATTGTATTACCTTTGGACAACCAGCACCAGGCGATGAATCGTTTGCAAATTTTATGAACCTATACTCTAAAAATTATACATATAGACGTTATGTTAACATTAATAATCATACTGACACCTTCCTATACGACCCAATAACCACATCATATAAACATCATCCCAATGAACCACTCTTATTAAATTGTAAAAAAAATCAGTGCCCACCCTTTCCTATTGGATTGCATTTTTTAGATCTATATAATGGCAATATTTATAATCCCCACTATGCATCATGTAATACCAATTGCAAATTTTACGAATCTAATTCAAGATTTTATAGGTATCGATACTATCATTGCCCAATATCATCTAAATCAGTAGTTAGTGGAACCTTCAACCCAAGAGGTTTGTTACCGGATAAATACTCAGTGTGTCTATTTACATCAAAACGACAATTTTTAAACTACTCCTACAGAAATTCACAAAGCTGTCATCTAAGAAACCATGAACCTAATGTACCAAGTATTATAGTAAACCAATCGAAAAAACCAAGATCGTTTAGGAAGGATACCAGTGGTGAAGATCTATATATCGTTGTAGAAAATCATAACACTGTATTGCCTACATCATCATTTGTATATAATATATCATTCAGTAATCCAATATTAACACCAAATTCACCATTTAATTTAAGTTGCCAAGTATTAACAGAACACAATGATACCATGGAGATACAAGTTTCATTTACATCAAACAATCAGCATTTAGCATCCTCCGCAACTTTAATTACCTACAATGTCTATGTTAGTCAAGTTAATAAAGATTGGAAAAAATATGTATTTACAGAACCAGTATTATTAAGATATATCAATAAAAGAATTAAAAATATACCTAAAGGTATTTACAGTATAGTGGTTACGGCAAACAATAATAGTTTCGAGTCCCACACATCAAATTATTTTATAATCTACCACAATAATTATTATCAACATAAAGAAAATATATAAATAAAATAAAATTTTATATTATTTAATTATTTAATTAAATAAAATTTTATGATTAAATAGTAGTTTTTATAAATTTTTTTAATTTTTTAATTTTTTAATTTTTTTTTATTATTATATTTATATACTGTCATATATACTTGAGATATTGTTGTTTTTGTTGGTGTTGTTTGCTATTATTACTTGGAGCTATTGTTATAATTTAGTGTTGTTTTTTTTTAATTATTTTTCTATCCATTTAAATTGATATTGTTATTATTATATAATTAATTAATTTATTTGGCAGTTGGAGTTTTTCTTAAGTAGGTGATAGTTTCAGCAGTTGAGGCAATTCTGTCAGCATCTTCATCTGGAATTTCAATGCCGAATTCTTCTTCAACAGCAACTAAAATATCAGCAGCATCTAAACTATCGAGACCAAGTTCTTTGAAAGTGGTGGTTGGAGTAACGGTTTTACCTTGAGTTTTATCATAGTTTGAAATAATGTTGATGACACGATCAGTAATTTCTTTTTCTGAAAGAGTACCATAGTTTCTGCTCATGAATGGTGATTGTTTAGCAGAAACAAAAGTTGGACGACTGACGTTTGAAATTAATCTAAAAGTATTTCTGATCATTTTTATATATTTCTGTGTGTGTTTGGGTATGACTGAAAAAAATAAAAAAAAAAAAAAATTTTCAAAAAAATTTTGTTTTTTTTTTTATTTTTTTTAAAAAAAATTAAAAAAAAAAAATAAAAAAAAATAATTTAAATTTTTACATATAAATTTGTTGGTGTGCATAAAAAAAGGCATCATACAAATTTTTTTCACAATGAATTTCAAATCGTTTTTTTCACAATAAATTTCCAATCTTTTTTTTTTTTTTTAATTAATCATATTTGTTTCTTTTTTTATTTTTATTTTATTCATAAAAATGACAACTAATTAATTGAATTCGATTATTTAACCAAAAATTACATTTCCCAAATAATTTTTTTTTTTTTTTTTAAAAAAAAAACCAATTTAATAATAATCAATTTCCAATTTAACATAACAAGTGTTATATTTAAATGGTACTGTGTGTTACCAAATACATAAATATTAAAAATTTAATTATTTAAATTATTATTTTAAATTTTTATTTTTTTTATTTTTTATTTTTTTATTTTTTTATTTTTATTTTTATTTTTTTTTGTTTTAAATGATTTTTTAAAAATAAGTTGTCATTATTTATAACACCTGTATTCAAAAATAATTTCCGATATCACATTATATAATACTACATATAATATAAAATATAAATACAGTAGTATCTCAATTTTTTAATAAAATTCTATTATTTGTATTTAAAATGTTTTTTTAATTTATAATAAAAATAATTTAATACCACACATAACAGAAAAAGTATAAATTTTTTTTTTTATTTTATTTAGTTACTCACACTCAAAACACACACACTTTAAATAGTTTTTAACAATATATTCGACACAATATTTACCACTCTAATAATACACACAATTACATTACACATATAATAAACAGACAACAAAAAGAAGATTTTCAAATTGACTTGTTATATATACAATAATAAATAATAAACATATTAATAATAATAATATAATATAAATAGTTTGGTGTTTCTTTTTCTTTTTTCTTTTTTTTTTTTTATAAACACAAAAAACTAAAGGAAAAAGAAAAAATGAAAAGGAGTTCAAGTTTTGATAGTTCACAAAATGAAAATACTACAACTACAACAATAATACAAAAAACAAATAGATATTATAATGTATCCAAATCCAACGAACATTTAAATAAACCTCAAAGTAATTTAATACCGAAGTACAGTTTATTTCATGATAATAATAGTAATAATGGTAATAATAATAACAATAATGAAAATAGACCAAATAAAATTCAAAAAACTTTAAAGATTACAAACTCAGAAAATGAAAAATCAAATAAGTTGCAAGATTCCACCTCTTCATCAACAACTAATAAATATTATAATTATAATTTGGTTTTAGATCAAAAACCACAGCAACAAAATAAAAAGTTTGAAAATGCTCATAATAGTAATAACAAATCAAAGTTACAATTAATAACAAAACCTATATTACAACAACAACAACAACAACAACAACAAGAACAAGAACAACAGCAACCGGCAAACAATCTAAATACTTTACCTTTAATTATCCAAAAAGAAATTATATTTTTATTGGTGGATATGGGATATTTTTTAACAGGTAGAAAGGTTTGTAAATACTGGAAAAAGGTTTGTCATGGATGTTTAAAGGAATTAACAATTTATTTTACCGATATACATTTATCAGCATCAGTCAAACATGTATCAGAAATATTTGTAAAATCATTAAATAGTGAATATTTATCATTATCAAAAATTTCATTCATAAATGGTGCCAAAAATTCAATATCCTATAGCGAGTTTTATTTTAATAATGTTATCCTACCTTTTATAGAAAACATAGCGAGATATAATCAAAACATATCAGTATTTTGCATTAAAGGATTCCCAATTTCAAGGATTAATAATAAAACCAGCCAACAGCTATCACATACATATAAACTATATCATTCCTCCTCAACTGCTGCAGTAGTTCCCGTGCCTATTTCCTTACCCTCCTCACCAATTAATACATCACCACAAAAAATAATAGATCAACCAAAAGGTTTATATTTTTATTTAACAAATAATAGTTTTTTAAAAACATTATCATTAAAGAATATTAATTTAGATAGCAGAGGCCAATTTGATTTCTTTAGTTCTTTATCATCAATTAACACCACTTTAGAGTCACTCACTATTTCGGATGGTATAGGCGACGAAGGAATGCAATTACTATCAGATATATTGGAAAAAAACTTATTGGTAAACTTAAAGAAACTTGGACTACAAAAGAATCAATTTACAAATACAGCGGCAGGTTATTTAAATAAGGTATTGTTATCAAGCGAGTCCAAAATAGAATATTTAGATATCTCAGGGAACAGAATCGATGAGCAAGGTTTCTATATGATGAAGGGTGGTCTTAGAAGTAATGTTCGACTGAAAACTTTAATTTTAGCGGGTAATAAAATCAACAACACTGATGATATCGATTTTGGAAATTCAATAACTCATTTAGATTTAAAATTTTCAATGGTTGCAACTAAAAGCGTAATTAGGGGGCTAAGTCAATATTTATCAAGTAATAGTTCAATAACTCATTTGGATTTAAGCTATAATCATTGCTCTGGATCCTCAGCAATTAAAAAACTTTCAAAAGCATTATGTGTCAATCAAACTATAAAACATTTAGATTTATCGTTCAACAAGATCAACACCTTAACTCATTTAATAGATGCATTACTAGCCAACTCTATAGAATCATTATCATTACAATCAAACTCAATAGATAATCAATCAGCAATACTATTTTCAAAAGTTTTTACCCGTATATCCCCATCTTTTTCAATGATTAACTTATCCTCAAATAAAATTGGAATTGGTGGGTTTAAGAAAATTTCTTCATTAATTTCAAAATATTCAAAGTCACACATAATTTATAATGATACAGATAATAATAACAGTAATAATAACAATATTTGCAATAATAATATCAATAATAATATTAATAGCGGTGGTGATAACATCAATTTTCATGATGGCAGTAATATGGGTTATAAAATTAAAAGGAATTATAATGAGGAAGATTTAATATTTTATAATAGCTTAAACAATAACAAAAATGATGAAGAAAATTTGACCAGTCTCAAAATTGACTTTTCTTTAAATCAAATTGAAATTCCAAGGGCTTTAAAGTTATTACCAGACTTGAAATTTAAATCAAATAAATCAAATAAATCAAACAAATCAGTGACGACATCAGTTAGTGGTGACACCAATCTCGAGGCAAAAAAATATAAACTTATCGAATATTATATGGTTCAATAAAATATTAATAAAATTTATTGTAAATCGCTAATATACTTTATACTATTTATAAAGATCATGTGGCCTAATTTAAAGTTTAATCTTTACCATAAAAAAAAATTCTTTTTAAATAATTTTCTTTTTATTTTTATTTTTATTTTTTTTTAATTTTTTTTTTTTTTTTTTAATTTTATTTTTATTTTTTTAACAATTTTTTTTTTTAAAAATTCGACAATATCATTTTTTATTTTTTAAATATTACAATATATAATATAGATATAGTACAAAATGAATGAACAAGATATTTTAAAGGATTTCAAAGGATCATTAATTATTGATTCAGAAGGAAAAATTTTAAGTGTAATTATTGGATTTAGTTTGACAATGGTTTATAACTTTATAAAGAGGTATTTAATATTAATATAACAACTTAATAATACATAAATATAGGCTGCAGGTACTTTACAAGAAGAATTTTATAACTCACAAGGATTCGCAACTACTATTCTTTCAATGTTACACGATGTAAATGTTATTACTACTTCAAATAAACAAGAATTTAAAAGAATGACAAGTAAGTTTAATTATATAATATACATACCCCATTTATATTTATATTAACATTGTTTTATCATAGTTACTTTTTCAAATCAAACTTTTATAGTCACAATTGTTGGTCAAAA